AAGGTGCCAAGTTTGAATCTTGGCATATCTTTTGACTGTTCTGACAGGATTTTCGAGATATTTGTGTCTGTACAGCGGATGTCAGGGTAGTACTTAAGCAGTAAACGACTACCTCATTCCAGGTGCATTATTACTCATCGTTTATCATTTTCGTTCTCAATCAAACTATGTTTAAATTTGTAGACTGCAGGTGGCACTCATACCCTGAAATTTTTTTAGATTCTTGTGGATGGTAAGAGAGTTTTATGTGGTCTTCCGGAGAAGAATCCTCCGAAAGATTTCCTTACAGTTCAGCACGGCGTAATAGCTAGAGGATCTGCAGTGATTAGAGGACGCAGTGAGAACTGTCTCGTAAAGTAGAATAATTTCTGGAAGTAACCGGCAATGCTTATTCACCGCGCCATAAAGGCTTGGGGGGGATGGAGGTATATCTCCACAAATTCTTACCTGAGCTCTAGACTCAGGCTAATGGCCGGCGCCATTCTGTGTCTGCTTTCCCCCCGGTATCAATTGGGTAGATATTTTAGCCCTTGTGTCGGCACAAACTTGACGACGAATAAAAATTATCCTTGCTTCTGCGCGGAATACCGATCAAAAGAGCACAACGTAGAAGACGGTTTATAGGATTCTAAAATGGAACGCCTCTTCAACTGTTTGAAATATCAATCCCATCGTTATGAACAATGTTGTTTAACCAAACCAAGTGTCAGATGGTAATTTGCAACATGCATCTCCTTGTAATCTCTAATCTACGTGAAATACCAGTCGTACTAGAATTGCCCAAAAAGTTGGATTTCAGGTTCTCACAGCGATAAATATAAAAATGGTTTGTCTTCTGGGTTGTTGCGCCGTGTAATCTGATAGAAATTTACTGACGTTTCGGAGGTTCTTACTGCCCCCATAGTCAGGGCGATGTGCTTGACCCGATAAAGCCTCGGCCTTGTCCGGCCTTCTATAACTCAGCCCGTTTTTTTTTTTTTTTGCGAGGCAGCGGGTACCTCTAAAACGCCTGTAAACGTCTACCAGACTACAAGGTGCAACAACCAAGGAGACGAGTGATCTTCTGCCAATAGGTTGTCTGCTTGTGTATGAAAATTACAAGCTGCAGGTGGGTGGTGAGTTGCATTCTGCGACATGAAGTGACCTGTTCTATGAGTTCGCCCACTCTGCCCGAGTTCAGTGGCTCGGCCGTGTTCGTTATGACGACGACACATTCTTTACATATTT